AGTGCCGGTGGGGTGGGAAGGCCATGAGATTACGGGTCTCACACATGGCGTTGGCAGTGCCGGTGTGTGAGACACTTTCCATACGTGTCGTTGGCAGTGCCGGCGTATGGGGAGAGTATGTATATTGCTTGAGTATCATCACACACGTCGTTGGCAGTGCCGGTGGGGTGATGATACTGTCTGCGCGCGTAGGACTTGTTATGAGATTTGTGAGCTACACGTGTCGTTGGCAGTGCCGGCGTGTGAGCTATGGAGTTCCGTCCCCCGGTTGGACTACTCATCCCTGGACGCGGGTTCTGGTTCGAAAATCCTGCGTACCAGCTAACAATCCCCCGGTTGGATTGTCTCCCCGGTACATTAGTATGGAGTGGAGTATATATACTATACTAGAGTCCTAGCTATTTATATATATATATATTTGTATATGGGTATCTACGGGTGTTGAGAGTTGCATATATTTTGGGAAATGAGTTGTGAGCCTGAGTTGTGGAGATGTTTTGGACTTTGGGATTTCTATGCTTGAGTTTTGGTTTCTGAATTGTGAAACTGCATGCTAGAGCATTATTTTTACATGGTGGGGTTACTATGTTGTTTTAAAGTGAAACTTTATTTCTGTCCACTCACATCTTTCTGTTTTGCGCCCCCCAGACAGTAGTTGCTCCTGAAGGCATTCGAGCAAGTCACGAGCTCCGAACTTGTCGTTTGTAATTAGGGTATGTATAAATTCTTTCTACTCCCCTGTTTGTTGTAAACAAATTCTGTAGACGCTCTGTTATTGCCCATGTTAGGCTACTACTTGAGGCCGGAGGCCATTTGTGTTGGATTGTAGTTTGTAAAAGCATGCTGGCAGTTGGGTTGTATATTGATGTAAATTATTGCAGGTTGTTTGTTGTTGGTTTGAGCATTTTACAGGGGAGACTCTGCCAAAATTTTGGTAGATTGTCTTGGGTTTTAGTAAGTGGGCCCGGCATCGGTGAGATGTCGGCAACAATACGGGGTCCGCCCCGGTTTCGGGGGAAATTCCGGGGCGGGTCCTGTCATCCTTTCTGGTACTTCTTGTTGCCATTCGGCTCTTACTACCAGAGAAGTGGAGTGCCATTACTGCTTGCTTCACCACCACCTTACCAAACTACATGTCATTAAAAATGAAGGCTTTGTTTAGGGGAGTCTTGGACCAAATAATGCTAGTATGGAATAGAGGTGTCAAACAAGTCATGACGGGCCAAGCCATTTAGAGTCGTCGTATTTTGGTGATGGATTTGCACCATTCTTTTGTTGGATGACCATGCCTGATATGGGGCATATTATTGCCACATGTTATAATGTGGTTTTAATCCTTCTAAGCATGCGTCAATGCCTTACATTTCTTCCTTTCTCAGTTCAATCAAGCGAAACTAAGCTACGTGAGATTGCCATTGGTTTTGTTGATGATGATCACTATGTCTAGGTATGAATTTATTTGTTTACGCAACATAGTTTAATTTTATATGCTATGCGTATATGAATGAATTCTTGGTTTGTAGGTTCATTTGTCTCCAGATCATCCTATTCCACCAGTTTCTAGAATGTGGCATGAACAAAGTGACATATGCAATGCAACACATTTGTACTCGACGTACCAAGCGCGTGTGGATGCATTTCAACAGCTTCTGGGAGTGGAGAATGTAGCTACTACTGTTCGGGCCAAAATTCTGCACGCCCAACCCAGCACTTGAGGCCCATAAAGCGACAAAGCAGTTTCAGGATCCAAGCAGTTTGGACTTTTTATTTTATCAAGGAAGCCCAAAATCAAGGAAGCCCAGCCCAGGGTCTGTCAGCCCACAAGAATAAACAAACTTGGGCTTTTTAAATCAAAGAAAAGAAATCAGCCCAAGCCCAAGTCAGATTTCTTAGGTTACCAAGAAAAGACCCAAGATTGGAAGGAAGCCGAGTGCATGTGATTTGCTCAACCCACAGTCCCAAAACTCAATCTGGGCTTGGCATGATCAAATGAAAAGAGAAAAGCCTAAAATAGAAGCAAACCCACATGACTACCTGACTTTGAAAAGTCAGCAAATTCAACTAGTCACAAGAGAGTTGATGGGGAATTAATGAAGGCAGACCTTACATGAAGATTTCTCCAGTCTTTACATACAAGGAAGAAGACCAAAATCCTTTTCTATATTCAGAAAAATTTTGCTCCAAAACAGCCATTTCCAAGGGATAAGCAGGCTATATTTTCTAAAAAAGATAAGTAGGGAGCAAGGAGTTGTTCACCTGGAAAATCAAACTAACCATCATGGCATATTGAACTCTTACAAAAAGGAGATAAAGGTCAAAGATAGGTTTTCTTTCAAAAGGCGGAGAAGTGATCACCACAATGAACTGACTGTTGATGGTTTGTTTGCCAGAATAGATAAAAATCCCATTTTCTTTGACATTTAAAATAAAGGCTTAATTATGTACATGCCCCCTGTGCTTTCCAACTTATCTCAGATTACCACCTGTGGTGGAAAACGTCTCAAAGTACCCCCCAACGTGCAAAAAACTGTCTCACGTTACCCTTTCCGTCAGTTTTTTTGAAGTTCCGTTACGAACGTTACTGTTCATCTCCCCCAAAATTCCAGAACAGCAGCTCCTCCCATTTGTTACTGTTCATCGCACCAGTTTTTGGGCTGCCATCGCCTCCTCCGGCCACCCCAAGCGACGACATGGATATCAAAAGAACCAGCACGTTGTCCTCTACCACCCTCACATCTCAGCCGCTGCCAACCGTCGTCTGGATCACCGAAAAAAGCAAGAAATTGGCCGGTTTTTACCCAAAATCTCCATTGCTCGTTCGGGCGATTCCGAGCACCATTTTCTTCGATCCAGGTATGATTTTTCAACCTCTCGAGTTGTTCTTGCTGCTAGTTGTGTTGGTTAGGAGAAATTTCTGAGTTTTGGAGGGTAAATAAGCGATGAACAGTAACAAAGGGGAGGGGATACTGTTCTGGAATTTTGGGGGAGATGAACAGTAACATTCGTAACGGAACTTCAAAAAAATTGACGAAAAGGGTAACGTGAGACAGTTTTTTGCACGTTGGGGGGTACTTTGAGACGTTTTCCACCACAGGTGGTAATCTGAGATAAGTTGGAAAGCATAGGGGGCATGTACATAATTAAGCCTATTTAATAAACAGACCCGTTCATTCATGAAAATCACCAATTTCGGCCCTGAGTGGGCTCGGGCCGTACTCGTGTCAAACCACTAAATGGGCTGAGATGTTCCCACTCCAAATTTGACTTATGTATTGCATTTTTTTTTTGTGTGTGTAATTTCTTTTACCATGTCATTTAAACCCAAGACCCTAGTGGCTTATGCATGAGAGACAGAGAGAGAGAGAGAGAGAGAAGCTGACATGCAACCACTAATGCTCAGGCTTTATCACTCAGTTTTCAAGGCTAATAATTTTTTTCTTCACAGTTCCAGTATGATAGTGGGTTGTTGTCAAAACATCTATGGAAGAAATAAAAAAAAATCACTCAAACACTTGAGTTTAGTATATAAATTTTACCTGCCCGACTTTCGAATTTTGAAATCGCCACTGGGCTCAACTTCTATATATCTCTCTATTGGCCAAGATACTCGAGGCCAACAACTAAACCCATAATTTCTTACAAATTGAAAACCCAACCCAAAATTTCATGATAAAAAAGACGTCGAGAAGTAGGTCCAAATCATGACCGTTGATCGGTGGACACAACTGAAACAGCAGAGCATCTCTACGTGTAATATCAGCTCATCACAAACGCTCACTCAATCTCAGCCGTTCATCGCCGACGTCATTAAATCGTTTTGACCATTTTGTTCGGATGGTCCATTTTGCATATCGAGGTTCGTGAACTGGAGCTCTCTCCATTTCCCACCTGAGCATTCTCTCTCTTTCTCTCTCTCAGTCTCGTTCTCGTTGATTGCCTGATTCGGCCACGCATCGAGGTTCATCTGCCGCAGTTCTTGCCATGGTAAGCAATCAATTTCTCTATCCGCCCACATCTTTTGTTGAATTTTATTTTTGAGGCTTAACATTCACTGCCCTAGGTTTCACTCTGATTCAAGCTCATTTTCATGTTTCTATCAATCCATATTTGTTTTGTATATTATTTTATTCGGAAATGTGTTCTTTAGTAGATCTTCTGTGGGTTTTTCTTCTTTTCCTCGATTTGCTATCTGATTGGTAACAGGGAAAATTGAGCAAAGGAGCTGGGAAAGGGCGAGAAAATTTAATTATGAACGGGTTTTTAAGGTATTTAATACCTGTTGGAGCTCTCCTTAGCTAAGCCCATCTTTTAATTAGGCTTGATTGAAGAAAGGTTTTGACTTTAGGTTCCAAATTGGTTATGGGTCTTTCAGTCGACATCTTTATCATCCCCATTATCACCATTTTCTTTTTGTCTTAAAGGTGCTTTGAAATATAGTGGTGATTAGGGAATCACCTTAGGCTTCTTGGATTAATCCAATTTTTGTCTTGGGTGAGTTTTGTGTGAAACTATCTCCCAGGTCAAACGCATGTAGTTTGGTGTAGAGATAAATAATAGGGAACACAGAGATAGGTAAGATAATTCTAGAAATGCTGAATCGAAGATGTACAAGCCACATTTCAATCTTGTAGTGCGTGTGCTCGTATTGCCATCTTCATTAAATAAAGAATCTATGATAAAATAAATGTTGCGCGTAGGCCACATTTTATCGTAATATTAATGTTTCATTATGGTTGCTGTGCTGTAATTTGATGTTGGATTTTTTTGTCCATGTTTTTTGGAAGTTGTTTCATGTGAACTGTAGTTTTATTTTGATTGTTAACTCTGAAGAATACATGTTAGAGACACAGTTCACTATGGGTAAATTAACTGATCTGACTTCTTTATTGTTAATTCATAGGCACCCATCAAGGGTATTCTTTCTCTGCCGAGAGCAGCTTTAGCTCGTCATCATGGTGAGAAGTGGGGCCTAGGGTTGAGATCATTCAGCACTCAGGGTGCAACAACTGCTAATACTCCTCAACCTCCACCACCTCCCCCACCTCCAGAGAAAACCCATTTTGGTGGTTTGAAAGATGAAGACCGAATTTTTACCAACTTATATGGGTTGCATGACCCATTTCTCAAAGGTGCCATGAAACGAGGTGACTGGCACAGAACCAAAGACATAGTTATTAAAGGTGCTGATTGGATTGTCAATGAAATGAAGAAGTCTGGCCTCCGTGGACGTGGTGGTGCTGGTTTCCCATCTGGCCTCAAATGGTCTTTTATGCCAAAAGTATCTGATGGACGTCCTTCCTATCTTGTTGTCAATGCTGATGAAAGTGAACCTGGAACCTGTAAGGACAGGGAAATTATGCGCCATGATCCACACAAACTTTTAGAGGGTTGCCTGATTGCTGGCGTTGGGATGAGGGCCAGTGCTGCTTACATCTACATAAGAGGTGAATATGTGAATGAACGGATCAACCTCGAAAAGGCCAGAAAAGAAGCCTATGAAGCTGGGTTACTGGGCAAAAATGCATGTGGATCTGGTTATGATTTTGATGTTCATATCCACTTTGGTGCTGGTGCTTATATTTGTGGTGAAGAAACAGCGCTTCTGGAGAGCCTTGAAGGGAAACAGGGGAAGCCACGATTGAAGCCTCCTTTCCCTGCTAATGCAGGGTTATATGGCTGCCCCACCACTGTTACAAATGTGGAAACGGTGGCTGTTTCTCCCACCATTTTAAGGCGTGGACCAGAGTGGTTTGCCAGTTTTGGGAGAAAGAACAATGCAGGGACAAAATTGTTTTGTATTTCAGGACATGTGAACAAGCCTTGCACAGTTGAAGAGGAGATGAGCATACCCTTGAAAGAGTTATTAGAGAGGCACTGTGGAGGTGTGAGGGGTGGATGGGACAACTTGCTTGCAGTAATTCCAGGTGGTTCATCTGTTCCACTACTTACCAAGGATATATGTAATGATGTATTGATGGATTTTGATGCCCTGAAGGCTGTCCAGTCAGGATTGGGGACTGCAGCTGTTATTGTGATGGATAAATCAACTGACATTGTGGATGCAATTGCGAGGCTTTCTTACTTCTACAAGCACGAGAGTTGTGGGCAGTGCACACCATGTAGGGAAGGGACAGGATGGCTTTGGATGATCATGGAAAGAATGAAAGTCGGGAATGCAAAGTTGGAAGAGATTGACATGCTTCAGGAGGTGACCAAGCAGATTGAGGGGCACACAATCTGTGCTTTGGGGGATGCTGCTGCCTGGCCTGTGCAAGGTCTAATAAGGCATTTCAGGCCAGAGCTTGAGAGGAGGATCAGGGAGCGGGCGGAGCGGGAATTGCTGGAGGCAGCTGCTTGAGTGCTTCTCTCAGGTTGCTTCTTGTATCTATTCTGCATTCATTTCTTCATTCAATTTCCAAAAGTAAGAAACTTAAGGAGAAAAACTATACAAATAACTTCCACTTGCTGTACTTTGGAATATATTTGTTATTTTGTTGTAAGACCACCCATCAGGTGGCCTGATCTGGTTTTCTGAACCTATACACATATGTGGGTTCTCTTGGATTTAAGGAAAGAAAAGTAAAACATTAGAAGGATGTCTTATATGTTCATGTTCAGCAGTAAACTTGCTACACTGTAGTCTTTTCTTTTCTTCGTTCACTGGTTGACTGGATATATTACTTGGGAGATATCCTATGTTCTACCTTCTAACTAAGATAGTGAATTGCGGAGATCTCAATTGGCAATTTTGACGTTAATATGATCAAGTTAAGAACACTCAGAAAGATAAGTAGAAGATTAACTAGCGTTGCTGCTTCTATGTCCAGTGGACTTGATGCATCCGTCATTGTCATCTGAGTAAATTTAGATGTCATTGACAGAACTTTTCAGTGTATGTGGGGGGTAAATGTTTTCTTCTTTGATACATGAGATCACTAGGTTGCTGTCGGCTAACCCTTTGATATTTTTCTGTGGGCTAAAGCATTTATCACTTGGTCTAATAAAGGATTTTTCTGCTTTGTAGGTTAAAGCTTGTATTGGTGGAAATCATGGAATAAAATAAAATATGTACCCCAGATTTCGGGAAGATAGGTTACTCAGGCGGCAGCTGGTGGTCCAGCTGCTCGTGTTTGTTTTTAAGCTTTATCAACTCTATGACCTCACTGTCCCGGAGAAACACTGATTCATTGTGGAAGTGTCTGGGCAGGATATTTATGTTGTGGTGTTTCCAGATCATATTTTCCTTACACAGTTGGAATTTTGTTAATAAATTTTGTTTTTCTTTCCCTGTTTTACGTAATGAGATTAATAAAGCACTTAGGGTAGAGTGTATAGATGGGATTGTCAACGTTTTTCTGGGTAGAGTGTATAGATGGGATTGTCAACGTTTTTCTTCTGCAGCTTGAGATGATTGACCTAAAATACAGATTCATACACACACGCAATAAGCTAAAGGGTGTAAACTGTGTAATTACTAATTATCACAAAGTCGAGCTTTCGGCCTTGACGGCCGTTACAGTTCTGGTCGTTGAATTGAGAAGATTGGGCTAAGGACTAAGCCCAAACTCTGAGGTTCTCATGATCCCCGGCAATGTTTCATGCGTCAAACCCATTAGTCAACAGCATTCAAGAATTTCTTGACCAAAAAAATAAAGAAAAACATTCAAGAATTCACAGTAGTTGATATCTTAAGCATCCAAAATCTCCATTATCAACCCCTGGAATTTTTACCAACTACCATTTTAATCATGTTGAAATGGATGTTTTCCTACCGTTTGATAAAGAGAGAAAAACTTGATATTGATGCTTCAACCTCCCGAGTCCCGACTATACGCCATACTAGAAAACAACTCATTTAATTATAAATAATAATAAAAACGTGAGTTATAAAAGGAACAACGAAGCCAAGAAATATGAACAAATTAAAATGAAACTGGTGACTCGTGCCCCATTCTAACTTGTTAGCCTTGTGTTACAATCAAAGATCAACAGATCTCGAATTCGAACAATATTATTGCCTCTGTGCCACAATCTAAAGAGAAGTTATGATTGAAGGTTTTCTAAGAACTTGTTAACTTTGTGGTACAACCAAGGGTCAGGTATTGAGTTCGATTGGCATCGAATCGGCGTAGTTTAGCCGAAAGTGAAGTGAGGCCTTACCAATTTTTTGCTTAACGGGCCAATAAATTAAGGGTACAAAGAAGATGCAGAGCCCAATAGAATGATTCAACCTGTTAGCGGGCAAAAAGAAAGGGCCCAGATCTACTTAAGCGAGAGCGACAGTTGCTTCCCCAAAAACGCGGTTATCATATATCATCCTCTTTCCTTTTCCGAACGACTTTTTATTTCCTCTTTCGTATTCTCACGCACGCACATTTTCAATTTTTCTCATTTTGACGCAACGTAGAAAAGTGAAGTAGAGACACAAAGGAAAGAAGAAGCAGTGGCCAGACCAACAGAGTCTCGTGCCTTTCTTCATTCTCTCCCACATTCCTCTCTCTCTCTCTCTCTCTCTCTCTCTCTCTCTCTCTCCGTTAACTCATTGTAAGTTCGCTCACATTTCTTTGATTCTTCCAAGCTCCGATCTTCGTTGAAGTGGCTGCAATTCCAATTGCTCTTCCAATTGCTTGTCATTGTCTTCCTCACTCTGATTCCGATCTAATTCTGAGTTCCATTTCTCTGTATCAATATTTGGACGAATAAGTCAACATTTTTTGTTTTTTGGTTGATTCACTGCTGCTGTTCTGATCACCCTTTTTGTCCGTTTCAATTTTGGCTTGTTTTGTTCGTATTTTCAAAGAACAGGTAGGCCAGAGGTTTTGTCACCGTGCGTTTGAGGCTTTTGTCAGCATTTGTTTATCAAAAGCAGCTGAATAAGTGGGGTGGGTGATTGCCCAAAAATTATTAAACCTCCCCACGTTCTATCTTGTACTCATTTTGTCTCTCATGGTCAAAATTATCTGCCCATTATTTTTCTTTTGCATTTTGTTTGTTGTTTATTGAAATTCATCACTGTGCATTGAATCTTATTATTAAATTAAATTCATAGAATAGAGTTGAGAATTTGAAAATGTTTTTTTCTTAGTCTTTCTTTGTTCCCCTTTTATCTGATTTTGTGAAGTGTATCTATGTAAGAAGGTTTCATGGATGTAGAAGCATTGTAACTGGTCCTACCCATCAAGAGCTTTCCTGGCACTTCTCATAACAATGGTTCTGGGGATAAGAACAAAGAGCAGGAAGAGCACAGCTGTTCAGGTTGATTACCTTATCCATGTGCTGGAGATTAAACCATGGCCCTCATCTCAGGCTTTGAGATCTGTACAGTCTGTGTTGCTTCAATGGGAAAATGGTGATCAAGTTTCTGGATCCTTTACTTGTAACGTTGGAGATGGGAAGATCGAATTCGGCGAGTCTTTCACCCTTCCAGTCACTTTGTACAGGGAGAAATCAAGAAAAAGCACTGTACGTGATACTTACCAGAAGAACAACTTGGAATTTTACTTGTATGAACCTCGAAAAGACAAGGCAGTGAAAGGTCAACTGTTGGCATCAGCCGTGATAAATCTTGCAGATTATGGGATCATCATAGAAACCAGAAATGTGAGCACTCCATTGAACTGGAAGAAAAGCTTTAAGAGTTCCGCTCAACCGGTTCTTTATGTTAATGTTCAGCCATGTGTTAAACCTAGCTCCAGCTTGTCACCAAAGGGCAGCTTGTCCAGAGAAGTGTCTCTGGAGAATGATGGAACTCAATCTGTTCCAGAGTCCATGAATGATGGCAATGATGAGATTGCCTCATTTACTGATGATGATGAAGATGATGATGATGGTGTTTCCTCACATTCATCACATACTGTAACCTCCTCTGCTTTTGAGAAAACAGTCAGTTCATTACCAAGCAGCAGTGAAAAGGTATGTGGAGCTAATTTAATAAGTTTTCCTTTTTAGATTAACTTCTGTGCTTTTCTGCTCTTATAATTTTGAAAATTCCGTGTGAAAGTCCTTACTCTGTGATTAGTGGTACAGAATATGATATATATATTTCTTTTTTTGTATGATTTCTCCAGTTTAAATATCCTTGCATCTAATTTATTATGTAGAAATAGGCTTATCGAATTTAATTCAATTGCAGATCCATGGCCGTACAATGAACAAACTACGTACTTTAACTTAAGATCTTCAAATACAATATCTGAGAATCCAAATCATCTGCTCATGAGTACTAGCATCATCATAATTTTCATACTCATTTGCATAGGTATGTCCAAAGAAAACTACATAATGATGTGGTTGCAATCATCCAGCCGGTTTACTTTAATATCTGGGCTACTTCTGCATCAATCAAATGGTGGACCATTATTGCAGATCATTTACTGCACTACAACAATTTCTGATACCATGATTGTGTTTGATCTGATGGGTTGCTTATCTTTGTCTAAGCGAATTCATTTGTGTATCTTCAGATTGTTTAACAGCCATATATAACTAATTGCAGAATGAATCAGAATCAACAACTGATAGCACTAGACGGCTTTATGGGGAGCCTGCCGTTGAGTCAATAGCAATATCTGCAAGCACAGGGGCAACTCCAGTGGCTAAAGCATTCAAAAACCAAAATGGAAGAACCCTGCAAATGATCCTGCTTCTTTGCCTAACGTTCCAAGGGAGAGCTCAATGCCAACCCTGAAAAAATCTCTCACTCCCTCTGTTCAATCATCTTCTTCATCCTTTGGCCACCAAGAAAGCCATCAAAAATCTGGTAACCATAATATTAAGGACAACAGAATTCACAAAACTCTTTCTAACAGCAGTGCCAGAATGCATGAAAATTCTCAAGTGGGTAATATTGCCAGTAACCATGCTACTGAAGGTGCATCCTCAAGCACGCCTATTCAGGAGGACACAGACTCAGTATTTGCAAGCAATGCAGATTCGCAAGCTAATCGAGAGGATGGTCATCTCCTAAAGGTGAAAGAATATTCATTTGATGACAAATTATCTTCCAGATTTTCACAAGATTCTACCAGAAAGCAAGTCAGGTTAAAGAGTGAAACTTTTACAATCGGCAGGAATACTGTTGGAGTGCAGGGCAGTAAGGTTAAAAGTAATGAATTAAAGCATGTAAAGTCTTTGCAGTTACCTTTTGTCTCAGCTCAGAACAATAGACTTCCAAGCAATAATGAGTTTGTCGAGAAGTTAAAGGAAGCTGATATTCCTGAAGATGTTCATGTTTGTGGTATGATTAGTGGAACAAGTGAAAGAGAGGAAACAACGACCAGATTTTCTGATAGTAAAGTTGACTTGGAGTCCACAATTGAATTGCTTAAGGAAGAATTGAGAGAAGCTGCTGCTGTTGAGGTTGGCCTTTACTCAGTTGCCGCTGAGCATGGGAGCTCTGCAAATAAGATTCATGCTCCTGCTCGAAGACTGTCTAGATTCTATTTAAATGCTTGCAAAGCGAGCTCTCAAGCTAAGAAGGGAAACGCAGCAAGAGCTGCTATTACTGGGTTGATTTTGGTGTCTAAAGCATGTGGAAATGATGTTCCAAGGTACTTGAAGCTAAATAAATGGAAGATCAATAATATACTGGCTATGCCTCATCGTAAAACTAATGATGTTCTAATATGCAAATCAGAGTAACCAGAATCCCTAGTAATAAGTGATCCAGAGGATACTTGACTGTCTGTTTCGGGATACAAATGACACATGAAATGGATCAGGATGCACCATAAACTGATTGGCTACGTATAGTATCTTTGTCCCTATGGGCCATATATATTTTTCCCTTTTCTTTTTCCCTTAATGATCCAAATAATTTGATATGATGAGTTCTAAAAGGATGTTAAAATACTTCTCTTTTAGTTTGACAGTTTATTGTATGTGTTGTTGCCAATAAACAGGTTGACATTCTGGTTGTCGAATTCAATTGTTTTGAGAGGTATCATCAGCCAGACCTTAGGGAAACCACAAATTTCTGCTCGACCCCGGACTAAAATTAATGCTGGGGGGCTTTTATCAGCAAAGAATGGGTTTCCTCCTCACAAGGAAGAGAATGATAGGACTCTTGAAAGTTTTGATAATTGGGAAGATCCACAGATATTTATGGCCACTTTGGAAAAGTTTGAAGGTTGGATCTTCTCCCGAATTGTTGAGTCTGTATGGTGGCAGGTAAATCCATATTGTTTTCTGTTTTCTTCATTATTGTCATCATCATCTTTTTTCATTCTTTCAATACTGAGCTCTATCTACAGGAAGTTTAGATCCGAAAGTCCTTGCTATTCATGTCTGATATTGTATCTTGTTTTCCCTTCTCCAGAATATGACTCCATATATGCAGTCAGCAGCTGCCAAGGGCTCAAGCTCAAGGAAAACCTATGGAAGGAAGTATGGTTTGGGTGGTCATGAGCAGGGTAATTTTTCTATGGAGCTGTGGAAAAAGGCTTTCAAAGATGCCTGTGAAAGGCTTTGTCCTGCAAGAGCTGGTGGACATGAGTGTGGTTGCTTGCCTCTGCTGGCTCGTTTGGTATGTTTATGCATTACCATCCCTTCCTCAATGTGCACATTGAGCTTTTCACTTCACCTGGAAACCCCTAAAGGTTAACATAAGAATATTGGAGCTCAACACTCGGTGCACATGCTATAGGTAGCGCGAGCTATACCACCAATGTTTTAAAGAAAACATATCTAGTGTTTTATTTTATGTGTCCAACTTCCAGTAGATTCCAATACTACATTAGAGTGAGCTTTTACTATTTCAGCATGTTTCCATGTGTCATTTAAAGATCTGTTGCATGATTTTGCTACTTACGTCAAAATTTATGCATACTTGTAAATGCATGGTTTTTCAGGTAATGGAGCAGTTAGTGGATAGATTGGATGTGGCTATGTTCAATGCTATTCTTCGTGAAAATGCTGAAGAGATGCCCACAGATCCTGTGTCTGACCCCATAAGTGATTCCAAGGTTCTCCCTATTCCAGCTGGAAAGTCAAGCTTTGGGGCTGGAGCACAGCTAAAAAACGCGGTAAGTGTGACACCTAACCGTGTGAGGTAATTAGTTACAATTTTTTTTTGGGCCAGTAAATAGTCACGTATTCTTTTATATATGAATAACTAGCAGTCTTGCACTCATTGATAAAAGGACTCTGCTTGTCTTCATATCCCCAGATTGGAAGCTGGTCTCGATGGCTTACTGATCTATTTGGTATAGATGATAGTGATGCTCCTGATGATGATACTGAACTCAGTGATCAAAAGCGACTAAACTGTGAAACATCCTTTAAAGCTTTCCGTCTTCTTAATGCTTTGAGTGATCTGATGATGCTTCCATTTGATATGCTTGCAGATAAATCCACCAGAAAAGAAGTAAGCACTGGGTTTGTGTACACCCCCACCCCCAAAGTTAAAATAAAGAAATCAACTGAGTTTATAATAACTCCCTGCCATTTTGTAATGATCACTGTTTCATTTATTATCTGCAGGTATGCCCTACATTTGGTGCACCACTGATCAAGAGGGTTCTTTACAATTTTGTTTCAGACGAGTTTTGCCCAGACCCAATTCCTGAAGCAGTTTTTGAGGCTCTTGATTATGAGGTAACCTAGAGGCCCTCTACTATCTCTGCAAAAAACTATTCAGCTTATATACTGCACTGCATTCCTGTTTGAATGGTGTAAGACTGATTTGCTCTGATTGATTGTTTTATTACTTTAACTGGCTATTCTCTGGAAACAAGAATCATGGAACTTGGGGTGGAAGCCCTCGTCTTTGTGGGTTTCAATTTGCATTAATCTATTTCACTTTTTATTTATTCAGGAGAATTTAGAAGCTGAAGTAGAGTCTGCTTCAAGTTTCCCATGTGCTGCAAATCCTACAGTCTATTCACCACCTCCAGCTGCTTCACTAATAGGCATTATAGGAGAGGTGGGAAGTCCAACTCTCTTGAGGAGTGGGTCATCAGTGGTTAAGAAATCATACACTAGTGATGATGAGCTTGATGAGTTGGATTCACCGATGACTGCAATCATCATAGACAATTCCCCGGTTTCTCCCAGTTCGTTGACAGCCAACTCAGTGCTGAAGTCGAAGGGTGGTCGAAAAGTTGTCAGATATCAACTCCTCCGTGAAGTTTGGAAGGATAGTGAATGATCTTCTCTTTCGTGTATGCATTTGGCGTACTTGGGGTGGGTTGTTCAGTGGTCTCTTTACTTTTCACTCTTGTACAGATTTGAGTTTGTTGTATACAACCACATGAATATTAGGGAAGTTTGTTCCAGAGGCATGGAGGCCTATTAATGTTTGAATAATGATACTTGTAGAGGGAATTTTTTTTGTTTAATGGAAGCCTTAATTTTATTTTTATGCATCCACCTAATTTAAACTGGGCAGATGCTATAAACAAAGCATGAGACACAAATTGTTTGAGGATCTTGTTTTGAGATAGTGCCCATTTCTCGAAACATTAGCTACTATAAGCAAAGAACAGGAATACAATTCAAGATGCTGAATATGACTACAGAGGCTACAGCCCCATGTATCTCTGTTCATCTTTGTTTGTACCTGCAAATAGCCACAGGGAAAAGTTATGAGACACCAAGCTAGTATTCCATAAATACATTAGTCTGTTCATCAATTCAGGGAAATCTTTGGAATTTAGAGATATTAAGAGGCTAAAACAAGAACTATGAATGACGCCAAAAGATGAGAAGGAAACCACACACAACTAGAATATATTTTGCCAGGAAACAGGTAGTAGGGAACCAAGAAATCTTACAACTTGGACTGTGCACCAGTAGCCGAACCACGCATTGTGTCGTAGTGTCCATAACCATGATATAGTACACGGATAGGGTTATCCTTACCGTACTCTTGACCATATTCAGCTATGATTTTCAGGCTACCAGAATCGCTGTCCCGCATATAAACTGTAATCGGCACCCTAGCAATGGAAAGCTATATAATAAGATAAACCTTTTGATCATTGGCAGTCTAAGTGCTTCTAAATCTTAAGCAACATAAATATATCTCTCTAACCACGAAAGGAAGATGTTAAGATCAGAGGATTACTTTAGGACATGTGAGGACATAAGCAATTCAGGTTCGCCTCCCCAAATGTGCGGTTGTCGCATCTGTACAACATACGTTTCAAAATCATCTTCAAGAAACCTGCCAATAAATTAAAAATATAAGTATTTGATTGGAAAATGAGTATAAGGAGCACAATCTGTCTCTTAGTTAGGTGCCTTTTCTACCAACTATATATAAATGGAGCAAAAGCATCATATAAAACAGGGATCCTTCAGAAGTTTACCATTCGGTGTCTGCCCTCCTTTTAATGAACTCATCTGCTACCTGTTCATATACATAATGTTTTACGTAGGAAATCCTCTGACTAAATAAAAGGAAACAATTTTTTTGGAAAAAGTAAAAGAAAAAGGAACAATTGACACAAAAAAGTACAGGGTTATTTTAAGAGAAAATTTTAATACAAGTGGTATAAAATTGAGTTCATTCTGTACTTTCGCTCTAAGCTCATCTGCGAGTTCTCTCTGAAGAGCTTCGCTTGGAGATGGCTTCCCTGCTCTTAGACAAGCACCTTGAACCACAGACCGGAACAAACATCTTCCATCTCCAGGTATGCCTGTACAAAGCAAGCATCAAGTAATTCAGTCGGTTTATAAGATCAGTGCAGCACCAACAATTACATCCCGAAAAAAGAAAGAAAAAATTTAAAAGAACCACGAAAAAGGCCCTTAGAAAGTTCTGAAACGCCATCAGTTTGAAACTTAAAAGTAGGTGATATCACAAACACACATTTGCAAATAGTATTACGGCATCAAGAATAAAATTACAAAATTATATAAGAAAAGGAGAAAAAAAAGAAGAAAGAAATAACAAACCAACCTTGGTTGTAATCCATATTATTCCATAATAATGATGAACAACAGATGGAGGGAAACTTAAATTAAATCGAAGAGAAACAAAGACCATGAAGAAAAGCATATAAGATAGTACAAGGCATTCATCTAAGTATTGATTAAGCTAGGAATAACCAAAAACCTTTATTCTTAACTTCGAAAAAAACAAACAAAACAATTCTTTGTAGAAAAAAAAATAAAAATTTGTTACCAAGCAAATTTTCCCGTTTCGGCATCGGTTGAATTCAGAATTAAGCAGTCGAGAGAATGAGAAAAAAACACAAACTTGCTTGAGATACTCTCTAATGCCACTTATGAAAGAACAAAATGATGTACCTGCTTCTTGATTTTGATGTGCAATTGAATTTTCACCGTTGAACACAAGTGATGAAGACAGCACCACCTCCCCAGTCCACAGCTTTTCCTTTCAACCATCAAAGGAATCGAATTGGATACTTTGCTTTAATAAGTTTAAAAGTTTCAACCACCAACGGCTAGGATCCGTTACGCGCGCCCTATATCAAAGCTCGCCGTGCTTGCTAATCTTCGGACGGTGCTTGCAAATACATAATTAACACGTGTCGGCAACCCAGAGAACTCTCCCGCTGAATTGAATAGGACCCGTCCATTCCCAACTGGCGGTGCGCCGAAAAAGAAACTGCGCCCTTCCAAACATTTATTTGGATTTTACTATTATCAGGTGCCATCAAATTAGAGCCCGACACTTCTCTTTGACATAAATATGAGACCAAATCCTTGACCACTTTTTCAAGAATATGGATTCCCGGGCATCCTTGGCGTCCAAGGTTCACACAATTTTTTAAGACTTTGTATTTTATTTTGTTGATATAGGCGATATCTTTATTACTTTAAATTAATCTAAATTTATAATTTTCAGCACATTTGGTTTCAAATTTCATGTTATGTTTTCTCTGAATAAATAAATTTCTCAGGAATCAACAATTGGAATCAAAATGATCAGTGCAAGACGGCGCCCGTTGCACACATGTGCGGTTTCAATCTTAGTGATATCTCACAGAGCCTTCACCATAGCCCAAGGTTTCAATGGACCCTTAGGCTTCATAGTAAAATTTGCAGCCAGAGTGGCCACATTGGGCGGACCCTTGGCCTATGTCTTGCAATACCAATGGATCACCATGGCAATCCTCTCCTTTATCGACAATCGAATTTTAGCTCTTGAAGACATGGTCGAGAGATTCTACCCTCCATCCCACATTGTGTTTAATAGGATCGACGATCTGGTTAGGGTCACCGAAACCCTACCTGGAAAATTTGATAATGTCATCAGCAAAATCCCCGCTTGCGTCAGCCATGTTTCGTTTTCGGATTGGACATTGGTTCGTGCTATTTCATCGCTGAATTTTGTGGTGGCTACATTATTGAGTTATTGGAGAATGTCGAAGGGTACAAAGGAGAAGGAGATTAAGGTTGATACAAGCAGCAAAGTTGAACGCAACAATGAACCGGGTTTTGTTCATGAAGCAGACCGGCCTAAAGAACCCTTAACCCCAAGTAATAATAATAAATGTGCAGGTGGTGATCAGATTGATAAGGATAATATTATGTCTCCTCATCACGTAGGTGTTACCAAGGGTGCTACTTACAAGGAAGTACTTCTACAGAAGGCAACAAATAAGGCAGGGGTTGAAAAAAGAGAAGAGAAAAATATTAATAACGAGGAAGAAGTGGAGAGCTCAATTGCTGATGATGATGACGAAAGTGAAACCAATTCTAAGGATGATGGGCTCCTAGAATTGTTCGAATCGGCATGGCTTATGACGTCGCCCGGAAGAAATGCAAGTAGAAACTGCACGCCGCGCTCTCTTTCATTCACTTATTAACAAAACTATAGCAAACAATTCACCACTCTTTTTCATGAATAACACATTTTATAAAAGAAAACTTCAACAAAATACGCTATTCTGGGAAGAGGGCATTTATACATTTTTGCTAGTTTTGTTAATGAAAAGACAATAAATGTATTATGTTTTAGAACTTAGTGAATTTGTAAATACAAAAATGGCAGTGTGATTTGGGCGCAGCCAAAATGTAATTGTGTATATAAACCTTGGAAGTGAGTAGGATTTGCTTGTTTTAAGTAGAGAATTGAATCAGTTGGTTCTGTAATCTTTACTGAAAAATGTTGGCGTGACTTGTGAAATATTGACTTACTTTCTTTTGACACCAAGAATTCCTATTATAATTGTAATTGATTTACTTTAATTCATGATTTCCTATTGTAAATAGAAATATGAATTTATTATTTACTTGCTTATTAAAGTTCCGTTGTATTATAAATATGACCTCCTACAAGGAGAAGAATACACAGAAAATTCCCACAAACAAATATTCTCATATTAAGTTTCATATTTTAGTATGGTATCAGAGCGGATCTTGGAATTGCTGACTCTAGTTTCAAACCCCCGCTGCCGTTATGGGGGTTGATGATTTTTTCAACCTTCATGGAGATAGCACCATCGACTCCTTTCATTCTCAACCAATCATAGCCTAGTTGAGTGCCTAGGTGGCTCAGCTCCTACAGATGCAGACTTTGACCCCGAACTCGATCCTGAATTAGGATTCTATTTTGATGACCTCGAACCCGATTCTGAATTAGGATCCTATTTTGACAACCCCGACTACGACGATAACGACCCTGACCCCGACTCCGATGACAAACTCGACCCCGAATTTGTCTCTGATTCAGACCTAGATCTCGACTTCGATTCTGACTCAAGCCCCCACTCAGGCTCAGATCCCGATCCTGATTCCTATTAAACCTATATCCTATGTATTTTCCACTGCACAGATTATGACTTCTCCACTAACGATCCTGACACATGGACGAGATTACACATATTGTGGTGATCCAAGACATACTCGTGAGACTTCTTTTAAATTGCATGGCTACCCAAAATGGTGGGCTACTCTCAAAGATCGAACACAACGCGATACGACTAGTAATGATACTAGTTATGGATTCCATACTTCTGATAAGAGTGATTCCACGAGCTGGATAATTGATTCCGGTGCAACTGATCATATGATGTTTGATCCTGATGATTTTCTAAATACTACACAACCCCAACAAACTTGTATTGCTAAAGCCAATGAAGTTACTTATCCTGCGACAGAGGTTGACACTGTTGCACTCTCATCCTTTCTCTCACTGTCTAATACTTTACTTGTTCCATCTTTATCCAATGAATTGATTTTTGTTAGTTAGTTTACTAAACAATTGAATTGTTGTGTATTTATTTACACGAGTTTTTGTTTACTTCATGATATCACACTAAGGGGATTCTTGGTCGTGGTACTAAAAGAGGGGGGCTATATTATGTAGATAACTTCAGTCCCGACATGGCTAATAGTGTGACACATCCCTCTGATAGTAAACAAAAACAAATCTTGTTGTGGCATTGTCGATTAGAACATCCATATTTTAGTTATATGAAGTATCTTATACCAAATTTATTCTCAGGTTTCAAGGACTCTAACTTCACATGTGGCACTTGTATTTTGGCCAAGAGTCACCGTGTTCCCTATCCGTTGAGTACGAACAAATGTACTACTTTGTTTACGTTAATTCACTCTGATGTCTGAGGACCTTCACCTATCACTGCTCCTTCTGGTGTTCGGTGATTTGTCACATTCGTAGATGATTGTACACAGATGACATGACTTTATTTGCTGAAGAATAAAAACGAAGTGTTTTCCTGTTTTCAATTCTTCCCCAAACAGATGAAAACTTAGTTCAATGCTCAAATACAGATTCTTCATTCAGAAAATGGTGGAGAATTTGTCAATCATAACTTTCAGGCTTACTTCCAACCATATTGAATTATTCATGAGACGACTTATCCTCAGACACCACAACAAAATGGTGTTGCTGAATGAAAGAATCGACATCTTCTTGAAACCACCAGAGCATTTTTGATTGGCACTCATGTTCCTCGCCATCATTGGGATGATGTTATTGTCACCGCAGTTCACCTGATCATCCGTATGCCTTCTAGTGTATTGACCTTTAAAACTTCCTTATAAGTGCTTGCATAATACGGGCCCCTGCTATTTGTTTTAGTGCTCACACCCTGAATCTTTGGAAGTGTGGCCTTCGTTCATCTCCACAAAAATCAACATAACAAACTTGATCCTTGTGCTCTTCGTTGTGTTTTTGTGAGTTATGCCACTCATCAGAAAGGCTACCAATATTATCATCCTCCTACCCAACGTACCTATGTCACTTTGGATGTGACCTTTTTGGAATCTGAGATGTTCATTCATGACCCATCATCCAATTCTACGCTTCAAGGGGAGATACGATGTGAAAAGCAGAATTGGAGCAACTTGGAAAACGAAGAAATTCACCTTTGTACAGAAATGATCAATTGTCCAAACCCCACGATCAATCGTCCCGAGTCTGGAGCACGAGATCGCTCTCTGTTGAAAAGCGATCAATCCCCCATTCACAGTGATCCTCCTGACTCGCCTGACCCCTGCGAAAATGTTTCTAATCCGAGTCCCACACCTACAGACAATACAGAACAACGAGATGAATACCCACTTCTAACTCAACAGTACCAAGGGATCAATCTCCTGAGAATATCCTTGAGGTAACTTATATATAAATATAAATTATTTTATTATTTTATAATTTGATATAATAAATATAAATCATAAATAAAACAACATTTTCCTTACCCATTGGTACAAAAACGATCGATCGTCCCAAGTCTGGAGCACGAGATCGCTCTTTGTTGAATAGCGATCAATCCCCCATTCATAGTGATCCGCCTGGCCCGCCTGACCCCTGCGAAGATGTTTCTAATCCGAGTCCCACACCTACAGACAATATAGAACAACGAGATGAAGACCCCATTCTAACTCAACAGTACCAACAGACCAATCTCATGAGAATATCCTTGAGGTAACTTATATATAAATATAAATTATTTTATTATTTTATAATTTTATATAATAAATATAAATCATAAATAAAACAACACTTTCCTTACCCGTTATGCTTTGTCTGAGATAAGAGCAAAAGGATAGACGGAAGACCTGTAATCTATTAATCAATCTACTAGCATCCTAAGCGAGTTCGCCGCCAACCATAGTAGCACCATCAGCTAAAATTTGTTACTCCCACTACACTTGTAAATTTAGATGACAAATCTATTGGATACCAATTACTTTTTAGGAAAAATCGTGGGAAGTCACCAAACCGTTATTCACCTGATATTGGCAAG